TAAATATGAATACATATTACCATATAGCTTGTTTAAATATTATACTTAGTTATTAAATTGCAGATGTGGTGTACACAAACGACAAACCGTATAWAATTCGGCCTCAACCGATTTAAACGCATTTTACTAGCGATTGCCTTAGTGAGTTTTGAAATATTTCATTAAAGATTTCCCTAAAATAGTTCAACGTAATAAAAAAATATATATTTAATTATTTATACATTGTTTTCTGAGTATAATATCATCTAAACCTCGGTTTACCATAAACATTTTGTTTTATCAAGTTGCCGTGAATATTATAATATATTATAAATGAACAAAATTTGAATAATGGAGTATTTTTTATGACAAACGCTTTAGTATTTTACGCAATAGATAAAGTTTCAACGTACATATTATAGTAATATAATATTATGTATATGCAATCGATTCCGTTTGAATAGTAAAAATTTCAGTAAATAAATATCTCTTGGGATTATCTTATGGAAAGATGTTAACTTCAATAATAATTATGGACCAATGTGGCCATACGTACCTATATGGCTATATTTATATTCGGTATAGATGTTATATTATTGTTATTATTATTAAATCGACCAAACTAGTTTCCGGAATTGCAGCAATGACGTAATAAACAATAAATTATTTCATAAGCCTTTGTACGGCGGAAATACAATAATATATTACGATTAATGTACGACGATGAGTGATTTTTTTTCTTTCTTTTCTCTATATGTGACCCCGACTCGTCCTAACTATGCGCTTGTATTATATTTTTATAGCTGCGAATGTGGTCAGCAAACGAACCGACTGAATAGTGGTATAGACTTACAGTGCGGGTATACACACGGTGATTAATAAAAGCGAAAAAAATAACCACAGGCGTGTTATTGGTACTCGAGACGCGCGAGTCTAAAAATAACAATACTTGCGTGTAATAATATATTCATAAAAACGTATGAAAACGTCTGAGAAAAATGATCAAGAAAACGTAGGCACCTAAAATGTGAGTGTTGTGTGTGAGCGTGTGCATGTGTATGTATGATAAACGCGTAAACCGCGGACGGGGTAAACGACTGCGCACACGTAGGCGAGTATTGTAGGTAATATATTATAATAACACGACGACGGCGATTTGTAGTAATACGCGTATTAACCGCATGTAAGTATATAAGTAATTATAATAATAATATAACATATTATACAATAGACCTACCCCGGCGATCGATTTAACGCGTACTCAATCAAAATGAATCATAACATGATATGTCGGAACCGCGGGAACTCGGAAAATACCGTATTTTGGTCCAGAAGAKCGCCGCCGAGACGTAAACGACAAGTCGACAACGTGTGCAGTATCATTGATTATTAATACTAATATATATAGTAATAGTAATATTATAATTTATGGTATTGAATAATATGCATTGCATTTTTTTATCACGGACCACTCATTCCAAAAATTATTAACATTTGTGAAAATATTTTTTTAACATAATTTAAGTAATAAAAATCAAAAATGTATAACAGTTTATGGGTTATAGGTATTAAAAGTTTATATAAGCGGAGAGGAGTGKCACTTACCCAAAAATTTTGGTCCACTTCTCCGTTCATCAAGTAAAAACTTAGAGATTGTAACGATAAAAATTAGCAAAAAATATATTTTTTGAAAAAATAATTGCAATATTTTAGTTTATTTTGGTTTATTTTTGTTATTTATATATTTAATTAATTGTGTTAACAGACTTAATATTGTATTTATAGAATATATTTTTAAAAGGTTATTTATAAATTTTTCTATTTATTTTATTTTAAATTATAATGGCCACGACCCACGGGAATGGATGAAATTAATTTATAATGCTTATCATCCTTAATTTATCGATGTACCAATAGTATCTATATAATATACGAATAAGAAATTAATAGTTACATGTCGCAGACATTTTTATTGTTTTAAGTTTTAACTGCATTGCTCCGGACGCTCCGGTACTCGTATTGTTGTTGTATTCGTCATGTGTTTTGAATTTTCCGTTTTTTATATCATTTGGTAATATTGTACGTTTTATTTGTCAGAAAAATTCTGAAAGTTAAAATTTTATACAATCAGATATGGAATAAGAATTTGAAATCTTGTGAAGGAATTTGGGTGTACTTACATTTTTATTTTCCATATATTATTGAGTGTGATTGTGCTCTATTACATACATAATTATTAAGATGGTATACTTATTTTAAACTTTTATTGAGACATTCGAACTGACGTATGGTTATCGGCTTTATTATAATAAAATAAAATAATAAAACCTACACAGTACACAAATTACCGCATATTTTTCGATTCATAAAATTACACTTGAAATTAAAAAATGTATAAATTTCTTTTGTGTTCTGCTCTTCGTTGCAACGATACGATTTGTTTATCCGTATACATATGGACGTATATGGTTAATGAAGTTAAAAAATTTTCTGTGCTTCACGGTGCATTATTATTTATGGGCATTTTATATGATCGACCACAAGCCCTTCAGCGACATCATCGTAGCGTATGTCGCGGAACAGGTTCTCATAATAATATTATTCATTATATCCGACCCGTAGTATAATAGAATGCGCGCGTTTATACGTGTCGTATTTAGCACACGATCGTACGCGATTATATGGGTACAAGACAATATAATAAATTATTATCACCATACATCGATAGGTATAGGTACACACGAAAATCAATGATATACGCGTGTACTACACAACCTATATAGATATTATATTACGTATGTATATACGCGTGCGACGCCGTTTTGGAGGGCGAAACACTCGCAGAACGACGACGGACACGCAGATCGGGTCGTACGCGTGTTTTATATTTTATATGTTATTATTATGATTATTATTATTACTATCGAATTAAATGACTGACGCGCGACAGAAATATTAAAACCACCTCGCCACGCCGCCACAACGACGYCCCGGACACAAATGACACTAATACGACAAGACGAATTTCATCGCAGCTATTAGAGTTAGAATATATACTAAATATTAATAGGTATAATACATTATTATGTCGGGTGATTCGGCGAGCATACTCCCAATTTTTCATTTATTTATGTAATTATTTAAATTCTAATTTGTGAAATTCATAGGTTCATGTTTTCAAATTCTTCAATTTTTTTTTAAGCATTTAAAGCTTATAAATTATTAAACTTATAGTTGTTGTATGTGCCTACTTACATAAATCTAAATTCGAACTGGGACTTTCTGAGTTATTAAAATTTAATAACTCAGAAAGTCTACAAACCCTTTCTTCAGATTTCAACCGACGACGCCGTGGGGACTGCTTGCACATTAGTACTGCGAGAAACGTTATGAACCTACTATAAGATCTATAATAATATTAGTATGGCAGTATACAATAATATGTTACAAATATAATATTACCTGTGATTTTAAAATTGTATAATCTGTAAAAAGTGTACTAGTATGATAAATATAAGACTAMATATTGCATAACATAATATATGTTATGGTTTATGTAAAATCATTATAAATAATTATGATTATTTATTATACTCTGTTGTCTGTTATATATTTATGTTCATTGTTCACCTAGAACTACGATCGGTAAACTCCTTAAGTGTATAAAAAAATCAAAGTTTTTAAAGATATGTGGTATTTTTAAGTACCTAAGCTTAATATTTCTAAAATCGAAAATTGAAGAAATATACATTATTAAAAAATAAAAAATAAAAGGGGCTTTGAGTATCATTCTGCAGTATGTATAATAGTARATATGAGAGGTCTTATTTGTACCTTTTGTACGCAGTCATACTCTCATCATAGGCGCCAGATTTTCAAAAAGCTATTGGGTGCTCTTACCAATGTAAAACAACAGTGGCGCAAGCATTGGCGGGKAGGGAGTAATGGGTTGTACCCACCCCCATCTCCCCAGAAAAAAAGTCCTGTACGTGYCACTGATGTCAAGTATTTGTGAGTAGCTTTTCCCCCTCACTCCGTTTACTAAATTTTCTWCAAACTGGTAACAAAACATATTTATTAGTATGAGAGTCTCTCATACTAATGTATACCAATTCTGTGTTTGCTTGATTTATGTACTTAGATTTAAATAATAAAATCGTCATTCAATTGATGTAAGCTATCAAAAAAAGAGTTTGATCAATAAAAATTTGCATAATCAAAATCAAAATTTGCAGCCTCATAAATCTARAACTTCTAAATATACAATAAAAGAGTGACTACATTTTAATTGTTTACGCATTGCTAAATATGATATATATTATATAAAACATCGTTAGAATCTTGAAATAATATTTTTCAACTTCGAATGTACATATAAATACACATAACTCTTATATGGAGGATCAAAAGTTCTTAGAGTATTTTACAAATATGTATAATTACCATAATGTATTTCACATACCTATACGTTTTATTATAAGTGTATTGAAATATTATATAAACTGTTTATAATATACCTTCTACAGATTAAATTTATGTATGAYATATTTATTTATTTAACTATAGTTTTATTTAATCTATGATAATACMGTGTGTATAGTCAACTATATCATAGAATAATTATCGACTATAATAGTCTAACCCTAACGCAACGACACTTTTTGTGTGCGTCCATATCGTGTTTTCTCAAAATATGTTAAAAGGTAAAAAAATGTGCAGTCGTATGCACCGAATGCTGCAACTGCAGCAAAGGTGACCGCTGGAAACGCTTTTTATCGGAACATGCGATCTCCGCGTTGTTTTTGTGATACAGGTGAACCTACCTGCGCATAATAATTATAGAATACGAGCAAAATGCCGCCGCCCGGTCAGCGCGGTCACGTAATTAGTACGCGCGCGGGGACGGCGGCGGCGGGAGAGACGGTGCCAAACGTCGCGCGGCCGACAAGGTTTAGGTCACGGCCCACGTGCAGGAGGGGCGAACGGATTGGCCGCCGCCGTGCGATATAAATATAAAAACGCATCCGCGACCGTGACACTGGACCACGTCGAATCGAATCGGTCGGTGTACACATCACACTGCACGAGTCGTCCGGGCCGCAAAACGTTTCGCCGTTACACTCGTTGCGCACCAGACGGACCGACAGACAGATAGCCAGACGGACGGACGGACAAACGTACGACAGCTCGTCCAGTAAACGTACACACCTGTGCCGTACAGCATACACTGCGGCCACGTCGAAATGATTGCAGGCCACAGACTGTGCCTGTTGACGCTCGTCGTCCTCCTGGCGGCCACGCAGACCCTGCAGGCCACCTCCCCGAAGCCCGACAGGGGACTGGTCCGGTTCGCCGACAACCAGCACATCCCAGTCCGGCCGAAAGCCGCCGTCGAGCCGGCCAAGCCGAAGTCCTCGTCACCGACCAAATCGAAAAAGCCGTCAGCACCCGCGCAAGCGGTCACCAAGAAAAAGACGCCCGTCAAGCCTTCCGTCGCTGCCGCGGCCGTCAAGAGTGAGTATACATGTTCTTATCGTTTTTTATTTATTTTTTTATCATCGTGAAAAATAAGTAATATGCGAATGATTAATTTAATTATATTATGGTTAGGTAGTAAAAAAAAGTCAGTATAAAAGTCATCGATTTTGCCGTTTGTCATTTATGACCAAAAAATAGTAACTGATGATAATTTGTATATGAAGATACTCTCGTGCGCTAAATCTAAATAATTAATTTTTGTGTTTGAAATTCCTTCCTTCTTGTATTATGATTCTTTTTTCATCAGGGATTAATAGTATTACCTTAAAATTGTTTTCACTGAAATAAACAGAATATCCCGGGACGTGATTTACGTATAGACGTATAGTATAATATTATGATTGTAATATTTTTGGGGGGATTAAATTTACCAACTAAGACTATTTGTTCCGAATCTATTGATCAATATGATATTATCCAGCCATGAAGGGATTTTTTCCCGTTTGAAATACTCGTTTTCGCATAGCAGCAGAAAACAATCAATATAATAATGTGCACTTTCAAATACAATATAATAATTAATTACATACATTTATACCTTTTTTTTTAAAATAATAGGTATTAGCAAAGTCTAGCTAATAACTAGCTAAACTCTATAAGGTCTAATAGGTCTATATATAAATTGGAGTGTAGTTATTTACTTAGTAATATCTTCGTAAATTTGCCAAAACTTCGTCCGAATAGAGACGATAATATGGACCGTGTGTTATTGATAATATTATGATCAGTGTTTAACGATAAATGTCGAATTGAAATTTAACTTTTGATTTCCTGGTACAAACAGTATACAAATGAATTTAGCTGTACATTTAAATGTAGTATTTAACAAATGTTTATTGAAATAAATTTATCATAAATAGCCTCCCATTATAAATATATCATACTCACTATTAAACAAAAACTTTTCTTTGTAGTTAACATCAATAAACTGATTCTATAATTCAATTTCAAACGTACATGGAAGTATATTTATGAAGTTTATGCTGTCAATGAAGTCTTTCAATTGGTTTTACATTAATATGATTTGACTTAGGCCTTTTTTTAAAGAGTGCGCCAAAAATGTTATTTTTTATATTAAATAAAAATATTATTTATACTGTTGACACCTAAAATTATATTTCAGCAAAAATTAAATACAACTATAAAATACTAGTTTATAGATTTTTCTATAGTTTTCTTAAGCGAAAAGAAAACTACAATTAAGAACGAAAAAACTTATATAGTATGAGCTGTATCAAGCTTCTTTCTAAATCGATTTCCAAAAGTTTGGTTATAAATTTCATTATAAATAAATATTAAATTCACTATTAATACAGAAATCTAACACACTTCACTACGACTCCATTATGTAGACTTTTATAATAGAGTTGCTTTTATTAATAGAGATAAAAATTGACAAAACTAACGTTTTTGTAATACCAGTCATCAATAAATATTAACTAGTCGTGAAGTTTAGATTCAAAAATTGTACAAAAACGGAAAAATACTGTCATTTAATATGATATGATATAGCCATTACCGTCCAGCTTAATTGAAATATATCGTTATAAGTATCGCCTGCAGTTAAACATCTTAATGCATTTTTATATTATTAACCTACACAAAATTATTTTAAAAAAACAGGATTTCAAATTTACATATCAACTTCCTTTACTACAATATTTTATATTGATCATTGAACGTATATAATTAAATCAAATTCCATTAATAAAATACATCAACTACCTATGTGATATTTTGTAATAATTATAATTATTATAAGAAAACTACGTCATGTTTGTTTAGCATCAGAAATTTTATCGTTCGATTTTAGCACTCGTGACATTCTTTTCTTTTGTTCATTATTCGGTTTTSGACAGATTGATAGTTCATCGTTTGCACATGCATATATATTATATATGCATATTTATATTGATGCAAAAAAGTTTAAATATAATATTACGATTGAACAAGGTCATTCGCTGACCGGACAACCAGTTTTGTAACAGTCATAAAAATAATCCTAAATAACGGGTCGTTATGAAATCGCCTTATGCTGTCATCGGCACACATCCATAATCAAATAATAATATCCTCCGTACCATTCCGAAAAGATGCGCGACTTTGAAGTGCTAACGACCGTACCTATAAAAAAAAATATTTATATATAGATGCGATTTTTAATTGGTCGTATTTACCTACCTCCGGTCGGCCATCGTCTCGGATGACTAATCCATAAACGTTTAGTAATTCATCGAGACGTCTCGTTATTACTTATACATCTTCGAAGAAGAAAAAATCCGTTCAACAGCAAAAAAAAAAAATCGCTTTTATAAAAAAAAACTCGTATCGCAAAGAATAATAATAAGAAAAAAATATATATAAAAATAATAATAGGTTGTGTGATTCGACGTAAACAAACAGTCAGCATCCGGCCGGTGGCAATCGGCAATAATAATTCAAAACGGCACAATACAGGTTTCCCAGCAAAGTTTTTCCATCGCGCTCATGTATAGTCACCGTACAGCCTTATACAGCTATATATCACGTGTAGTAAATATATACGCGTAATACGTGCGGTAAACACTATTCGATCGAAGAGACGTTATTAATTTTTGAACTTGATTCGCGTAGCAGACATATAAATATATTATTATTATTATTGTAACAACGAAACGAATAGGTATAAAGAATAATAGGACGTTTACGGCTATGCGAAAAAAAAAATAATAATTCGAAATATAAAAATACTTTTAATACTATTATTATTTACTTCGGTTCCCATCGTATTTATACTGCACGCCGCACACATCCAGATCATTGGTCATGCAGTCGTCTGGCGGCCGCGCGATGATGTTTCACACATTACGTACGACACTCACACAAACGAGACGAGAATGTGTTATAATATTATTGTTGTGCGTATGTGAAACGTCGGTGTGTGCGTGATTGATGGTGAGAAGCCGTACCGATACATGCGAGTGCCAAAACTGTGGCGTTAAAGTCTCTGCCAAACCGTTTATACACTGCCTATATATTATAACCTGCAGTATTCACCGATCTACAAGCGTAGTATAATATAAACACGCATTTTCGATGTTTATCTCGAAACCATTCGGATCACGTTTGAATTATCAAATTGTTTTTTCTTTTATCTGTTTTTCGATAGTTACTTATACGACTATACATATATTTGAGTTACACAAAAACAAAAAATAAAAAACGAAAATCGTTTGAATATAATGTATTTATTCAAAATAATAATATTGATACTACCTATATTATAATAATATATTACACGATGGTGGAATACCACTTGTCATATTCCCACGGGAAACATGCAGATTGGCCTGACGGTCAACACTGCAACAGTGAATTATACCAGCATATAAATATATAATATACATTTATAGATATCTACCTATACATGAATACACAATATATAATATATATATATATAGTCGATACACCGCGCACCCGTGAACGGTGCCTACGTGTCTGTCAGACTTAACGTGTTTCTCACTGCAGTATATACATACACATATTATAATTAATATACATGGACCAGAAAGTCTTACTGGTTTTCGGGATGATAATATGATGGCGCGCATGTTCATAATACAGTTTTGGCTACGGTGGTCGGTCGATGCACAACTCGAGGAGAGGGACCCCTCCGACCACAACAGACGACATACAACATCATCATCGCCGAGATTGCATACACCTGTTTTTTATTCATCATCTTCTATCTTCTCGTTATATTATTGCAATATTCTCGGTATTTTATTATTATTATAATTTTTTATTAGGGGGCCAAACACGTTTTTCTGTATATATGTACAAACCTACACTGGCGGTGCAGCACTAACCACTAACGGCGGATTTCCGTCGACGGTTATTGATTTGTCAGGCACCAATACGCACGAACCCGAAATGTCCGGTTCCGTGGACATCATTTACGTTATATGCTATGTACAAGAAGATGCAAGTACGCAACTGCAGGAAGAAATTGTGTTTTAATACCTTCACGTTAAACAGTTGGTTTCCGTTATTCATACGGTGATTTTTTTTTTTGAATGTTTTTTACATAACCGTTTTTATATAAGTATATACCCATTCTAATATTTATGCATATAAAAATATACTTTTATCCATACGTACTATTATCAACTCGAGTCAGTCGCGCATCCGTTTCAATACGTCGATCCAAATGATACGTTTTATCATATACCAATTATGCCCATGGTCGTTATCGGTAACACCCTAACATATAACTTGTAAAGCAGACATGTACAAATAACTACATAATATTATGTGTTGTTATATACTCGTTTTGATCTGCAGTGAAAGATATTTACATATGACTGTATGATGAATACTGTGTATTATAGTAATTTTCGTACTCCGGCACTTAATAACAATGAGCGATTTCTTATAACCTATAGGTACCAAGGTACCTATATACATATATATATATATATATTATATACATCTTATGTTATATTCAACGCGATCAAAATATTATACATGTCATACAGGTATAGAGGTACTACACATATTATATAGATACTAATTTATCTAACCAAAGCGCGCCGAGAACGGCTTCATTATTAATTCTGAACATTCGATTCTAAATTCCTATATAATATATTGCTATATATAATTTGATAACATACATTTTGTCTGATGTTAAAATACACGTTACACGAAAACCTAATGTTTGACACGGTACAGCGTATCTGAATCGATTGCAATTAATTTTAAATCCATGTAAAGACGTTTGTATACTATATACACGAATTTACATAATCCGTTAAACCTATGCCGGATGATGTTCTACAAGTAAAATAGAATTATATTTTTTAAGTCCATCACTGACAGTTGTGTATTTGAAACGTCAACTTTAGATATCTGCTATACTCTAACTGAACCAGTACCTTTATAATAATATAGCAGCTAAATGTTTGATTTTGATTTTTGAATTGAAAAATTAACGT